AAAACACTCCAATTGCGACTCACCACATGGAAACCCTTGTTCTCCAACTATGCCCCAAGAAGAAGAAGGTGACTTGGAAAGAAGGGACCATGGATAACGAGTTTATGAACAAGAAGAGTCGTAAGAAATGCTGCATCTTCCACAAATAAAAACCCTTTGACGAAGATGATAGCGATGACGATGATCACCATAACCATTGGTCTTGTGGTCATGATTACAAAGATGACTGTGGGCCTAGTATTGGCTCCTGCGACTGATTGATTAATTCGGTGACCTTTTTTGATTTACCTTCTACCCTCGTGGGATCAATTTGAGAACTAGATGTTGTCTTACATATGAATTTGGATCATGTTTATTTTTGCTGCTTCGATTTACTTTCATTAGTTTTTCCATTGTTTAGGTACTTCTAAGTTCTAATTGCAATTGCATGTGCAAATAGCCTTTTGGTGTGAACTCAATGGTCTAATTGCCTATGGCCTTATGGGTGTGTTGTTTATTAATTATGCCAGAATGGGAATGTTATTTCCATCTCTATACCTACATGTTCTTCATCCTGAATATTCAAGAATTTTATTTGGTGACTCACCAACATCAAGAAGTCAAGGCTGAAGCAACCATCAAAGATAGTTTTTTGTGCTTATTTTCTTGTTGCATTGATTTTCTCCTCTCTTCTCATGTGTTGTATGATAAAGCAAAGAGGAACATGCTATCCATTCTCTTCTCATGTTGTATTGTCTAGATGATGCTTAGAGTCTATAAAATCATAGATGGCATGTTTTATAGCTCCATTTTTGTATCTTGATTTTGGTTGTGTGATGTAATACTTAATCGTCAAAGTTTGCAAAGTAGAATCTAAGTGTGATGTTTGAGAAAAACCCAAATTTGGAGAGGAAGAAGAAGGGAGGAGAGAGAGAGAGAGAAACAATAAGAAAAAGAAAGAAGAAGGATGAGTAGGGAGGAGAAAAGGAGGAAAAAGATGAAGTTTGAGAGAGAACACATATTTGGGTTTGCAAAGGTAGGGGAAAAGGAAAGGCAAAGCAGAGAGAAAGTGAAAGAGGAAGAAAAGATGACGTGGATGAAAAAAAAAAAAAAAAGAACATCATTATTTTTAAGTTAAAAAAAATTCCAACTAATAAAAAAAATGACTAACTATTTTTTATTTCCATGTCATTAGTTAAGCAAAAACGAATTGATTTGCTAGCAAGTTAACATGCCACCTATCCATTTAATTGACGGAAGGACTATTTTGGTATCGAAAATAAAAGTTTAAAGATCATTTTGGTACTTTTTAAAGTTGACAGATAATTTTGGTGTCAAAGTGGAAAGTTGAGGGATCAAAATGGTATTTAAACCTAAATTAATTGAGAAAATTGTCATATTTATGATTTTGATGATTGCAAAACACACTTGAATTACTAATTTATTTATCTAGGTGTGTAGTTTATGTCTTGAAAGTTGGGAGAAATTAAGGAATTGGATTATACTAAAAAAGGACCAAAGATGTTAAAAAAACTTTGGGGAGTTGGTTTTTCTTTTTGCAACTAGCTTTAATGAAGAAAAATGTAGAGGGTCGGCTTTGAATGTTGTAGCTAGCTTTATTGTTCCAAAGTTCAATCTGTAGCATGATGCATGTGGGAAATGAGATGCAAAGCTAGCTTTGATTCAACAATTGGCTATGATAAAGCATGTAATGCCCAATGGTCAAAAGTTTTGAATATTTTTTAAATTTTTTGGACTTAAATTTTTTAAGTCAGCTTTGGATTTTGCTATTGGCTCAACAGAAAAAAAAATGTTTAGCTTGTTTAGGATAGCCAACTCTAATAATAATAGTTAGGGGGTATAAATATGGTTGGTAGAATTCTTGAAGACACTCTTAGACACTTTCATTGAATATCTTTCACCTACCAACTTAAGATTCTTACGCTTTAACTTGTAAGATTGATCTTTGAGTGATCTTTATTTGTAATTCTCAACTTACTTTCTTTGAGAGATATCTTAGGAGTGTGATTAATTCCTTCAAGAGTGATTTGTAGTGAGGATTGTTAGGTTTACTTTGTAAAGGGATGTGATTTGTGAGAAAACCCATTTCTTGTAAAAGGATTGAGTGGCTCCTTTAAGTCACCCTTGTTTATTTTAGTAGAGTGTGAAGGAAAGCCTTGGTAAGTGAAGCCAAGGTCAAGGACCAAGTGTCAAGTGATTGGATTGAATCTCTATCAAATCTTTATGTGAGCTTCTCATCTCTTCATTCTTTGATTTTTAGTTTGTGCTTGCAAAAAGGAGGAAAAATTTGAAACTCCAATTCATCCCACTCTTGGAGTGAATTGAGTCAACAAAAATATGTACTTAATACATCCTTAATTTGTGCTTTTAAACAAACAAACTGTTGTTTATATTATCCTTAAAGCCAAACGTGCAAATTGTCCCCCCATATTTTTTAAATTGAAGTAAGTTCACACCTATTAAAAAAGGTTGAAGTGAATTACTGCCCAAAATTTTTGTAATAACCCAAAATTTTTCTAAAACCTTAAATTTAAGTTTGAGACTTATGTGGGAGAAACTATCTTTTGCAGTGCCCAATGGTCACAAATTTCAAACCTAAGGGGTGGTGGAGTTTTTTTTTTTTAAAAAAAAA